TACAATAATAATAATAATAATAATATATTTTAAAATTATAAATTATTTAAATAAAAATTATATATTAATTTAATATTAATATATTATAATATAAATGTTATATTTACAATAATAATAAAATATAATTTTCAATTATATAAATTACATGAATTAAAAAAATATTTATTATTTCATATTAATATATTATAATATTAATTTGATATTTGCTTAATATTACTACTAATAATATGTAAAATAATATAAATAAAATAATTATAATGAATATTATAATATATTACTTTGCAATAATTAAATCTAACCATTTGTACAAAAAGTTACATGATCAGTGACACTCGTTTACTTTTGTTGACTATTGTTGAAAAACATCTCTTCTGCTCACAAAGGCTGCATTTATTTGACCAAAAAAAAAAAAAGTAAAAAATTGTGAAACATTATTACAATCTAAAATAACTGTTTTCTATTTGAATATCTGTTAAACTGTAATTTATTTATGTGATACGCAGCTGTATTTTCAGCATCATTACTCCAGTCTTCAGTGTCACATGATCTTCAGAAATCATTCTAATATGCTGATTTGCTGCTCAAGAAACATTTCTGATTATTATCAATGTTGAAAACAGTTGTGCTGCACAATATTTTTGTGGAAACTGTGATACATTTTATTTTTCAGGATTCACAGATGAATAGAAAGTTCAAAAGAACAGCATTTATTTGAAGCAGAAATCTTTTGTGACATTATAAGTGTCTTTACTGTTGGCATATTTGATGATAAATGCAAATGTATTTGAGCAGATTTTCATATAATGTCCTCTCCAGGTCATACTCACGGGTGATGATGTAATCTTGTGTCAGCGTCTCGGCGTGTTTCTCCTTCCTCTTGCTCCTGACCACACACAACATCGCACCTCTGAAGAACAAACAACACACAAAACAGGACATAAGCATTGAAAATAAGACAAAACATGCTTTCAAATAAGCTTAAACAACTACAAATCAAGATATGAACTGCCATAATATTTCTTATTTTAATTAATTCCCTTAACAACTGTGTTTTTTTTTTATTTAAGAACCTGAATTCTCACAGTCTTGGAAACCCTGAATACATGAGGGATGTTTAAAAGTGATTTCTAGAAATTTATAAACATCATGACAATCTTAATAATAATAATAATAATCATGAACAGTGACTCGTGATCATGAACCGGAAAGCTGAACTGTAGAATTGAATTATTATTATATAAATTACTTCATTATATTAGCACTCCTAGTTTTTGTTAAATAAAAAAAAAAAATGATCACTGTCATTCAAACATGCTGTATTGAAAAGAAATGCATGCAAAAATATTTATTTATTTATTTAATTTTATTTAATTCATTTTTTTCATGTATTTATATTTATACGTGTGATTTCCAGACCAGGAAAAGTCATGGAAAGAATTAAACATCTTAAAACGTCATGGAAATTTGTATAATAAATATAAACATTTTAGTTATGACAAGTTCTAAAATATTAATCAGGTAGAAACTGATTAATTAATTTGCAAGTAAAAAATAATTACAAAAAAACAATCATGAACTAATGGAAAGCCGAATTAATGAATTTAATTATTTTAACATATTATCACTCCTAGTTTTAAAAGAAATGCATGAAAACGCCTCAAAACAATTAAAATAATAATATATTGCTAGAATTATATTTATTTTATAGAATTATGTTTATTTTATAGAATTCTCAGGGACAACCTGGATAAATGAGGGAAGTTTAAAAGTGATTTCCAAACCTGGAAAACTCATGGAAATTAATAAACATCTTTAAAAGTTATAAATATAAATACATATTCTAGTTATGACCAGCTCTAGAACACTTGATTGCGCGCTTGACAACAGGACGTGACTTTGTAGTAAATGTGCAGACCATTGATTCTGCTCTCAGTCGACACTAATGGAGTCATGAACGAGTCATTTCGTTGAGTTTACTCGCTTCAGTCAGTCGGTTCAATCAGTTTAAATCCGGCTGGATCATTACTGAACAAACACGGGCGGAAAAACAGGGAAGAGTGTGAAGCGTGATTGAGACGGACAGCAAAGCAACTGCACCTCTGACTCTTGACCGGGTCGTAGTAGACCTTCGCCAGGCCGGTCCCCGTCCCAACCATGATCTGATTCAACTTGGGATGACAAAGACAGCGGACGACACTCTGAAACAACAGCAGATGAGAGGAAACAGAGAGCGAGGACTCATTATTTGAACAGGAAGTGAACATAAACCGATGGCAGAGCCGGTCTGCGCTCGGATGACGTCTGATATCTCTCGCCATCCAGCTCATCTCCAGTTGACTATATTTGGCGGTCCTGGATCTCAAAGACTCGCTGTAACGAATGGGCCGCTGCCAAGGCTGTGTGAGGATTTGTGTGCATGTGTGACAGTGTGTTTGTGTGAGAGAAGAGACGGAGGAACAGACTCCTGAATGCCTGCAAACACATGCAGAGGAACGTCTGCATGCAGCGCATGTCTATACGAAGACAGTTCATAGCGACCGTCTGCAAAAAGGAAAAAAATAGCACCATTAAAGACATAAAAACACCAGAAAAGCCCATTACATTCTTACAAACTTGTGACTGGTGAAAGTCTAACCCAAACGAGCAAATAAATAAAGACTGTTTAAAACAGTAGTAGTAGTAGCAGTAATTTTTATTATTATATACAATATATAATAATTAAAGTAAAAATTACAAATATATTAAATTTGCATAATGAAAAATTATAATTATTATTATTATCATAAGTTATATGCAAGACATAATATAAAATATAAAAAGAGAAATAAATATAAATACATAATATAATAAATATCAAAAATAAAATCAATAATTAAAATACAAGTGATAATATATTTATTTGCAATAATGAAATATTAATAATATTTATCACAAAAAAGTTAAATATTTTATTATAAAATAATATAAAATAAAATAAAATGAAAAAACTAAATATAGGTTTGGATCAATTGAGGGTAAGTGAATAATGAAGCTTTAAAGGAAAAGACGTAATCACTGTCATGCAAACATGCTGTAATGAAAAGAGAAAATGTAAGAAAATACCACAAAATAAAATAAATAAAAATAAATGAAATAAAAAATAAAATAAATATAGGTTTGGATCAAAATGAGGGGAAAATTCACTGTCATAAAAAAATAAATGAAATAAAAAATTAAATAAAGTTTTGGATCAAAATGAGGGGAAAATATGTCACCACTGTCAAAACATGAAAATACAACATAAAATAAAATAAACATCATTGTCATGCAAACATGCTGCATTGAAATGCATGAAAATACCACAAAAATAAATAAAAATAAAATAAAATAAACATCACTGTCATGCAAATATGCTGCATTGAATATAATAACCACAAAAAAAATTAAACGAAATGAAATGAAATTAAATAATTAGGTCAGGATGAAAATGAGGGTGTGTAAATAATGAAGCTGTACAGGAAATCCATAAGAATATCTAGCAGGTACTGGGGTCCAAATGCACTTTAAAAGTGATCTCCTGAGATGAGTTAACAGCACAAGAAGAGCATAATAAATCATACTATGTTCAAGAAACTCTTTCTAAACAGATCTTGTGATGTATGCAGTGTTCAGATCAGGAAAGACCTGTGGAGGCATTTGGGTGAAATCTGCTTAGCCTCCAGCTGTTCAGCGCCGGGCTCGTTTCTGCCTGAATCCACCAGCCGGACTGCGTTAAGCCTCCCTGACCTAGAATCCGGCTTTAGACCCTCCCTCCCCCGGACTGTAGCAGGGGTTTCTCCGGCCTTTATTGACTTAACGGGATGTATGGGGTTAATCCGTCTCCATGGGCATGTGGCCAGATAATTGATTATTTAGAAAAGATCTGGAAGATTTGGCCGCGGATCTGAAATGTGCTTCCAGCTGAGCCTTTTTTGGCCAAATACAAACGTAATCTCATTTAGTCGCTTCATTACCTTGCAGATACTGTATCATGGGGTTTAGATCGAGCACATCTGTATATCTGGCCTCTCCATTACTTGCAATCGTGCCCAACATGGCGCCCATTCACCCAGAAGACACAAGGATGCTTTCAAGTTACACAGTAAAATAAACAAATAAATAAATAAGTAATAATAATAATAATATGAAAGACTTTATTTTTATTTGTATATATATATATACTCATAAAATATAACAGTGGTAAGAGATACTGTACTTCCATAAGATACTGTACAAAGAAAGGAAGCATATATAGGGAAAACAAAAGTGGTTCCAGAATCGACCCATGGGGAACACCACATACTACAGAGGCCGTTTGAAGGAAAGATTTCCTATATTCACAGCACATGTCCTATCCTTAGAAAGGAGGCAAACCACTCAGAGAAACCTACAAAGAAACTTAAATAAACACTATATCACTTCAATCTGAGCAGCACTAGATGTTTTAGTTTTTGGACATTAAGCCGCATTCAAAATGTCACTGGAAAATAAACTGAAAATCGTCAGCGTAACAGTGGTAAGAGATACTGTACATCCAGAAGATATAATTTAATGGAAGGATGTATAGGGAAAACTACAGTGGTCCCAGAATTGAACCCTGGGGAACATCACATACTACAGGGGGCAAAAAAATGACTATATTCACAGCAAATGTCCTATGCTTTAGAGAGGAGGCAAACCACTCCAAGATACCTACAAAGACAGTTTAATAAACACTTTATCACTTCAATTCAAGCAGCCCTGGATCTGTTTTACTTTTCGGACATCAAGCCGCATTCCAAATGTCCAGTGCAGAGGGAGCAGCAGACGTCCTGGAGGACGCACATGTCTCACCTGGTTTTTGCACCTTGTGAAAAAGTCAGCAAAGCCGAGAACCACCCCTGGAGTATTTACTCTTTCCAGCCTGGAGATGTGCCCACGTCTCAGCACAGAGTGCGACCCCGCCACGAGGTTACGGCCCATGTTTACACTTGCATGATTGGTAGCTCTTCCTGTCACAGGACAGCCTAGTGCAGCACTTCATAAAGACAGCACTTAAATTCTTCAGCCGTCTTGCGCTGGATAAACACTGTAAATAGCTCCTCGTCAGGTCAGCTATAAATAACTTAGTCTTCTGGATGGGCCAAAGGTATTTTCAGCAAACAAGAGCCGTCCACCGCTGTTAATATTATTCTACTGATGCCGGACACAAATGATGGGGCTTTTTTGGCAGAATAAATCAACATTTATCATCCTTGTATGGAAAAGAGAAGCTAGCACATACTGCCTAATGTCTTATTTAATGCTTCACCGAAGAAATATAATATGGTTGTTTAGATGATAAATAATTAAAAATTTAAAAAAAGGTGATATGACATGCTTTTCATTTTAGGATAAAATATTACTTTTGTACCAACAAATTTGCAAAATCCAACTAAATCAAATACATTATTGCAGATAATTGTAATAATAACAATAATAATAAATTTTTTCAAGTAGACAGAAGAAAATGGAAAATGTCTGTGATGCATCTCACAAAAAATATTATGTTCTTCAGATTAATGCCACTGCTCTATGGTTTCTGTGTGCTGGAAGTCAACATCTGCTTTATGCCATCCTGTCAGGTTTAGGACATGAAGCAACCTGGGATGGACAGCATTAGCCTTTACGCTGTTATGACTAGAGCCGGAGTGCTGGGACTTAGAGAAACACACTCAACAGCACATTTGATCACAGACGGCCATGGGAGCTTTGAGCCGTCACTCAGATGTGCCCTTCGTACTGTCCACTGACCTCAGAAAGAGCTCCCAGAGACACTTCACTCGCTTCAGATGAATCCAGCTCTCAAGAGCGCCGGGACGC